AGAAAGTGTGTGAATTCCTTAATTGTTGCACTCTATTATTTTTTTGCATTTGCGTTCAGCCTAAAAGAGAGTGAAAATAAACGTAAAGAAATCCAAACCACCCAATTCAGCATCTTAGCATCTGGTCTGTCTAGGGAAGCATTGTGACTCTAATCCCACATTTCAGTCAACACACTTGAGTTTTGTCTCAGTGCTGGATCATGGACTGTGTTCCGAGGAATAGGCCCGGCCTCTGTCCTGCCTGCCTCTGTGTCAGAGGATACCAACACTAATAATTAGAATTCAGTGTTCCAAAGGTTGAGGTTCAGGATCTGCTCCAACATCCCCTGACCTGTACCATTTCAAGTTCCTCACCAGTGAACAGCCCTGAGTTTGAGTCCAGGCTCTGCCACTTGCCAGCTGTGTGATCTTGGGCAAATCATTTGGCCTCTCTGGGCCTAAGATTCTTCCACTCTGAAATGAGAGTAATAATTCCCACCTTACAGTTTTGTTGTGAGGATGGAGGAAATGTAGGTAGTGTAGTGGTGACACTCACTAGCTGTGTGACCTTGAGCAGGTTAGCTTCTCTAGCTTATTTCCTCCTCCGGTAAGACTAACAGCACAAACCTCATAGGGCTCTTGTGAGGTTAAAGGTTATGTATCTCAACAAGGTTGCATGATAGTTAAGTTCTCTGGCAATGTTAGTAGCTATATTATTATTATTAAGCACATAATACAATAATATAGAGCATAGTAGATGCTCAATAAATTGTGGCTACTCTTATTATTAGTTTCCACCCTTAACTTGAGGACAGCTCTGACCTTAAATGCCTGAGGCTGGTTTCTGGTTATTTCAGGGTCTCCTCCACCTCACTGATGCATTCAGGGAGTTTGCAGTGCTGACTTCAGGTTATTGCTCCTTCTGCTAGTTCTTCTTGTACTTGACTCTGAGTTCCAACCTTTCTCACATATCCTGCTATTTGCTCTTGGCCTGGTCTCAGCATTCTCTGTTCTTGCTTCATAACCCCATTCCCCAGGCCGATCTCACAGGCATGAAGTTAGTCAGACTAGAGTTAAGTCCCAGCTCGGTTGCTCACTAGCTGTGTCACCTTCGACAACGGCTTTAACCCCGATTTGTTCATCTGTAAAATGGAGCTGATAATGCCTGTCAGGGTTGTCTAAAGATTAAATGCAATCATGTGTTCGTAAACACTTAGCGTGGTGCCTATCACACAACAGGTGCTCAATAAATGTTTATTTCTTTCTCTGTCCTCTCACCCTATGGAGTAAATTCTATAATTATTCTGAAATGGTATACTATCTGTAAAGGGGGGAAATAACCTTTCCCACTTGTGTCAGAGACTGCCAGTATCCATGCAGTACCTGGCTTCCTTTCTTCTTTAGTATTTTGACTTTATTGGGGGTTGGAGGTAGCAAGAATATACCGAACTAGAGATTATGTCTTCCTATTTCCCTCACAGCTAGGTGACACCATGTATCTGTTTTGACCAATGATATGAAAGAAAGTATTGGATGGTGGTATGGGTTAAATTGTGTCCCCCCCGCCCAAATATGTTAAAGTCCTAACCCCAATACTACAAAATGTGACCTTATTTGGAATAGGGTCTTTACAGAGGTAATCAAGTTAAAATGAGGTCATTCGGGTGGGCCCTAATCCAACATGACTAGAATCCTTATTAAAAGAGGAAATTTGGACACAGACACAGACACAGGAAAGAAGGGAGAAGACAGCCATATAACTGGAAGGTTACATCTATAAGCCAAGGAATGCCAAGGATTACCAGCGAACCCCAGAAGTAGAGGCAAGGAAGGATTCTCCTCTAAAACAGTCAGAGAGAACATGGTCCTGCTGACACCTTGATTTTGGACTTCTAGTCTCCAGAACTGTTTTAAGCTACCCAGTTTTTGGTACTTTGGTACAACCGCTCTAGAAAATTAACACAGGTAGAATTGGGGGCTGGTTGCTTAAAGGGAGGCTTCCTGCTGCCTGGAATGTACACAGTTGGTGTTTAAAATCTTTAATAATCAGTAATAGAGATGGGCACTAATCAATCAGAAAGGACACTGGCCATGAACAATTTGTCTAGTCACACTGTATATGTTGGTTAAATATTAGCCCTGGGAATGTGGCTGGAGTTCCAGCAGCCATTTTGGACCATGAGGCTAAAAGCTTGGAGCTGAGGAGGGCGGAGTTGAGAGGAGGTGCCTTGGTTCCTGATGACTTTGTGGAGCTGTCACACCAGACTTGGGCTGTTTACTTCCCATGTTATATGCTATACTTGTATTCTTGGTAGAATAAACCTATGTTTGTTTATGGCTCTGTTATTTTTGGCATTTCTGTTTTCCTCAACTTACCCGAAATTTAACCGACATCCAATCCCATGAAGTATTGGAAATCCTGAATAAAATGGTCAACAGGAAAGTATTTTGCAAATTCTCCAGCTCTATGCACACATAAGACATTTTTATTATTGCAGTATTTGTGACTATGATTATGATTGGTTGAGGAAGAATGGGTTGAAATTGACTGACGTGATCCTGGCCAGAGATCAGAGGCTCTTTGTCCTGTTTTAGCAATGTGTTCTTAAGAGCTCTACACAGCATCCATGGATAACAGTGGCATGAAAAACTGGCAGGAGACGGGCTGCCAACCTTTGGGCTGGATGCCAGCAGGATGACTGCATGACTTTTGTTGAGCTGGGGCCAGACGGCTCACACACTGGTTGGCAGTTAAGCATAAAGTTTAAGAGTCAGGACAGATGGGTTTAAATCCAGGTTCCACCCTTACTTGCTGTGTGACCCTGGGCAAGTTACTGAACTTCTCTGGGTCTCAGATTACTTATCTGTAAAATGGGAACAATTATAGCCCCTGTGACACAGGGTTGTCATGGAGATTCAGTGATATAACATACCCAGTAGGAAAAAAGATGAATCCAGTTTATCTGTATCCAGTCCACTAACCCTTGACAGATTACAAATGGATGGACTGGATTCTGGTTCGCTCTTTCTTACCTTTATTGATTCATTCAGTAAGCATACTGAATGTGCCTACTATATATACCAGGTGATGGAAAGAGCTAGTAAGGTAGACTTAGACCATGACATCTAAATACAGCCCACTCAAAGAACAGTTAAAAAAAAAAAGTAGAGCCAAAGTTTGTTTGGGTGCCCCTCCCCTCCTCTTTCTGTTATTTTTTTCTTGAGGGCTCCCTTCAAAATTTCATTCATAGCTATTCTGGTCAGTAGATGCCTGTTCTCGGGAGGACCTTCATCACTAATTCATACTATGGTGTAAATCACTACAAATCTCTGAAAGTATGGACCTGCAAATGATCCCTCCTGTAAAGCTAACTGCCTCCTGAAAGGCTGTTCCAATGCAGAGCAAGAAGGTTCCAGGTAGAAGGGCCCAGAGAAATCATTCAGTCTGAACCCTCTCAGTTCACATGGGGAAAATCACGCCAGGCACAAGTCACCCTGGTCTAAGCAGGATGATCCAAGAACATCCAGTGGTCATGTGGCCAGGCTGCGTGGGGAACAGAAAATGGCTCTTCCAGACTCCATGGTCACTCACTGCTTTACACTATCTGTGTTCTGAGTATGTTCTGATGTAGTTGTGCAGGGTGCCCTAGGGAGATAGAGGCATGACTAGAAGTGCCCCTGCCTTTTAAGAAGACTACAGCCTGACAGGGGACACGAACACATGTGTTAGATCAAAAGCCCTTTGGCCCCACTGATTTGAAATGCTGCCTTCATTGTGTGCCGCGTTCTCCAATATGCGCGAGACTATTCTTAGCTCTGTTCTATTGCTGTCTCTTCCTGCAAGCACTATGCTGTTTCAAAGACTATAGCTTTATAAAATACTTAGATATCTGGCACAGAAAGTCCTCTTTTTTCTTTTTCAAGAATATCTTAGCTGTTCTCGTAGGATCACTGTTCCAGGTGAACTTTTGAATTAGCTTTCAAATAACACAGATTTTGAATCCTCTTTAGCACTCTTCTTTATACCAGGCAAAGGGCTTTCGGAGGAGCCAGGCACTTAGTTCCTGCCCTTGGGAGCTCACAGACTCGCTGGGAAGTGTAACCAAACAGGAAGTGTAAAGCCAACAACAGTAATCTCACGCTGTAGGTAACCAGAGCTAAAGGAGTGAGGGGTCCCACAGACATAAGTACTTGTGAGCTCCATTGCTCCTCCAGGCTTCAAAAGTCATGGGAGGCTCAACCCGAGAGGTGACATTATATTGGACTTTTATGGATGAGCAGGAGTTTGTCCAGTATAGAAGAGAAGAAATACTTTGAGTTTGGGAAGTTAGAGAATGCTTACCCACTCCAAAGGAGACACATTTCATTTGAGAGATGATAGGAGTTTGCCAGATTCAGAGGGTGGAATGAAGGGAGGGATTACCCTGAGCTGGGAAAACTACAAAGAAGGCCCTCTGAAAACATTTTAGCTGGGTTTTGGATTGGAGGAATCAGAGAAGATGCTGGAAGAGGCAATTAAATAAAAAGGAATTTATTAGAAAAGTAATACAGAGAGAGGACCTTAGAGCGGAACTCCGAGGGATGAGTGAACAGTTCACCAGGCAGAGGAGAGAAGGTAGTCACAGAAAAGGCTTCCCGGAGCAAATAGAGAACTTCCTGGCTTCCTGCTCACTCTCTAAGATCCAAGATCCAGGATCTAAACTTCCCACCGCGTAGAGGCCCGGGGTTCTGTGGTGGCGGCCCTGCTGTTCCTGGTGTGGGGTAGCGGTGGACCATGATCAGCCGGGAGGATTGAGGCTCAGGTTTGCTGAGACCGCTGGCAGAGCCCAATGCTTTATGTCGGAATCGACCAATGGGATGGTGGCGCCCGGTTGCCAGGACTACGGAAGGGCGACAGTGGCATTGGAGGCGGGGCCTGAGTGTCAGGGGCGGGGTCTGGGCGGGGCCTATATAAATAGGCAGCGGGCGGAAGGCGGGGCGTGGGGGGTCGGTGGCTGCTGGGCGGGTGGGGCGCAGGCCGCGGGGCCCGAGCCGCGGGGAGCTAGCGAACCGAGGCGTGGAGGTTCCGATTCATTCGCTGGGGAGATCTATGGGCCGAAGCCGTGTAAATGCGTTTTAAGGCGAGTGCGGGGAGTGGCTCGGGGAGCCTCGGGGAACCGCCGCCCTCGGCTCCAGTGATGACCTGCCCCTGGCCCCTCTTGCCTCCTTTCAGCAGGGGCCTCGGCTCCGCAACGGCCACTCCTCTTCGGGGTGTTGCACAAGTTTCGAGGTCACCGGCGACCCCCCCTAGCAGCACGCCTGGCTCTGGCCCCCAAGAAGGAGGACGGGGCTTGGTAAGGGTGTATGTGTATGGGGGGGCGGGACCTCGGGAGGGCTCACCAGGACAGAACCTCAGCCTTTGGTTCTCGCCCGGGAACCCGTGTGGCGCCCCCATGCACGCTTAGAATCCTAGCATGCCAGGACCAGCCCGTCCCTCATTTACAAACGGTGAAACAGGCTCCGAGAGGGGACCGGGCGTACCCAAGGTCACATAGCACAGAACGGACTCGAACTTAAGCTCGTGCTCTGGGGGTCTGAGACTCCTTGGCGGTTTTCTTCCCCTTTTTACTAAAATCCGAATTTCAGAACTGGAAAGGATCTTCAAAACAATCCATCCATTTTCAAGTGGGGAAACTGAGGCTCAGAGGAAGTGACATCTAGGCATATAATGCCTTGCCCCTATTCAGGATTCCTGATGGCCCCTACTCTGTCCCCAGTGAACCTAAGGTTTCCAGGCTTGTTCTGGGGGCGGGGTATGACAGAACTGGGAGCCGTGGCCTGGGGGAACAGAGGGGTTCTGCGGAGGCCAGCCTGCCCCCTTCGCACCCAGGCCAACGCCTCCCTCACTCCTGTCCCCACCCCTCCCCGCAGTGTGTTGCATACTTTCTAAGGCGGCAGGCGGCAGGCGGCAGGCAGCGGCAGCGGCCGCAGTAGCGGCTCCATCCAGACCATCGGCTCCATCCAGACCATCTGCTCCTCCTCCTCAGCATGGCTGGCTACCTGAATGAAACGGACTTCGTGATGGTGGAGGAGGGCTTCAGCACCCGAGACCTGCTGGAGGAGCTCACTCTGGGGGCCTCACAGGCCACCACGGTGAGGGGCTGCGAGTTTGAGTTCTTCCTCTGTTCCCTGTGCAGGCCCAGCTGCCTGCTCTGAAAGGGCCTCTGGGGCACTTATCTTCTTTCACTTATTTGGTGTTCAATCCTTACTATTTGCAAGACACTAGGCTCATTTTATCCCGGGTTCCTGGTCCTTGTCCCTAAACCTGCCCCTCCTGTTCCCTGCCTTGATGACAGCAGCACCATCAGCTACCTGGCCCTGTAGGTCAGAAGCCTGGGAGCCCTTGGTTCCCCTACACATCTAGGCATCACCAAGCCCTGTGAGTACAGCCTCCTTAAAATACCCCCCAGTGTGCTCCTCTGGAACCTGGAGCCTCACTTTGGCCCCCCAACCTCCTCCCTGCCTCATCCCACCCCTACCAATTTTATCATAGACATGCTGAAAATCAGAATTCTTTGGCCATCCCCCGCTGCTACAGGATCAAGTCAGAACCCCCCTGCCTTCACAGCCCCATTTCTGGCTTCTCCCATGGTATATATTATGTTTCATCAGAGCTGAACTACTCTACTAGTGTGTCCTAGTGATGCCATGTGCTCTACTATTACTCCTTTGTGTCGCACACCCTTCTCCCGGCCTTTCTCCCTCTTACCTATTTCTACTCATTCTTTATTACTCACCTTTTCCTGATTGCTCAGGTAGATTTTGTATTTTCTTTCTCTGTGGGCCCCACTGCATGATGTAGAGATTTCCATCTAGCATTTATTGAATGGGCTTGTGACTGTGTAAGGGGTTTGTTCTCTTCCAGACCCAAGTCCCTTTAGGGCTAGAGCCTGTCTGGTCATCTCTGTCCCTTAGCATAATGTCAGACACCAAGTGGGCATCAGTAAAAAAAAAAAAAAGTGTTGCATAAAGGGAAACTGAGTCCCAGGGAAGGTTTCAGTAATGTGGTCTCACCCATAGCCTCATATGTGTTTGGGCCTCAGCAAATCTGTGATGGCCACTTGTCCACAGGCGTGGGTTGCAGTGGCCGTGAGACTATCTCAAGGCTTCATTGAGCATCGATATGTGAAAAGCGGTGGGCTGTAGGCCATAGCTTTGGCCTTCAAGGAGTTTATCTTTTTCTGGAGAAGACATGTAAACCCAGTTCTGATACTTTGGAAGCAAGAGCAAAATGCAGTGGGAGCATTAAAGGCATAGTGATCTTCTTGGTTTGGGGGAGTTGGTGTTCAACCTGAAACTTGAAGGCGTATTAAGAATGTGCCCAACACAAGAGAGGAAGGGTATTCTATGTGGAGGGCATGGTGGGAACAGAGGCATGGAGATGGGAAAGTACATGATCCAGTCTGCAGCTGGAGTTTGAGCTGCAGCGAGTGGAGGGACTGGGGCAGGATCACAGGACCTCGAATGCCTGGCTGGGGAGTTTGCCTTCTGTCCTAGAGACTTGGGGAGCCCCAGAGAATTAAGAGCAGGGTAGCTTCATAGCCAGAGCCGAGCTTGGGGCAGATACTGGGGAGGACTGGGGATGGCATGCACAAAGAGGGAGCTGGGTGGGGTCTCACATTCACCCCTCTTGTTGTACAGGGCAAGGTCGCTGCCTTCTTCGTGGCCGACCTGGGTGCGGTAGTGAGGAAGCACTTCTGTTTTCTGAAGTGCCTGCCTCGAGTCCAGCCCTTCTACGCTGTCAAGTGCAACAGCAGCCCCGGCGTGCTAAAGGTCCTGGCTGAGCTGGGGCTGGGCTTCAGCTGTGCCAACAAGGTGAGCCCCTGTCCCAACCAGCACCTTGACCCTTGCTGCTTACTGAACACACACATGGCTGGGCTGCTGTAGGTGGGCCCTGGGGAAGCAGCAGTGACCTACACTTGGCCCATGCCCTCTGGAGAGGGCCACTCACTTGGAAGGGGCTTTAAGGGATGAGGGAGGGAGAAACAAGCATGGAATTTGCCAGCCTTGACGTTACAAATTGGAATCCTGTGTGTCCCTGGGTAGATGGGTCACCTTTTTTAAATGGCAGTTTCCAAACTTCTTGGCATAGAGCTTACATACCCTGTTTCCCCGAAAATAAGACCTAGCCAGAAAATAAGCCCTCTCATGATTTTAGGTGACAAAATATGGCACCTTGGCATACTGAATATTTTAAGCTGAAGGAGTTTGTGGAAAAGGCGCCCTTCTCCCTGAAACAGGTCATAAAACCCTCATGTGAGGGGTGCGTGCCCTCCATATCCTGGAGGAATCATGCTACGGCTTATTCTCCAGCTAGGTCTTGTTTTGGGGGAAACACGGTAGTATTCTAATGAAAACAAAACAAAAACTTCTTATTGTTTGTTTTCTTTTTTCTTTTATAATCTTAATAATGCATGACTGTATATTTTCTTAACTAATCCTTCTAGAATTTTGTTACTTTGTCCATTCTGCTAACTTTCTAATTTGATTAATGCTGTTGTCGTAATCTGCTCCTGCTCCCTTTAGATTTACTTTACTTATTTACTTCTTAAAAATTTTTTATTTATCGAGCTCCTGCTAATCACTGTGCTAGGTGGGGCTGGCAGTACAGTGTTGAGTAAGATAGACTCTGCTGTCCTTGAGTTGAATGCTTAGTTTATCTATTTTCATCCTGTTCTTATTTGATAAAAGCCTTTACTACAGTTCCCTCAGAGTACAGCTTTGCATATATTTATTCATTCAGCAAACATTTATTGGGCACCTACTGTTGGGCCAAGTACAATTCTAGGTGGGGATTTAGCAGGTGAACAAAACAAAAAAAAGGCCTGTCCTTCATGGAGTTTGCTTTCTAAAAAACAAATAGGTTAAGTAATGAAACTTGACAGTGTTTTATATGGTAAATGCTGTGGAGAAAATTGAAGTGGGAAAAGGAAGTAGGGAATATTGGGAGAGAAGATAGCACTTTTAGATCGTTTGGCCAGGGAAGGCTTTGCTGAAATTTGACTACAGACCCGAAGGAAGCAAAGAATCAAGCCAGGCAGATGACCAGGGGAAGAGCATTCTAGGAAGAGGGAACAGCAAGTGCAAAGGCCCTAAGGTGGGAACAAGCCTGGTGAGCACTGGTTTGTGATCTTGTCATTTCTGTTATTTTTGTAATGATTATTAATGATTGTTTGAAATCCCTTTTAAAAATCCTTTGTAAACCCCTTTTAAGTCAGCAATATAGCTGGGTGTTGTGAGGAGAGTTCTAGCAAGGGTTGCTGGGAGAGAAAGGAGGAGAGCTAGCCAGGGCAGGATGACAGGGCTGGTGGGATGCCAGTGAGAGACAGGTGTGCACCAGGGTGGGACAGTCAGAACAAGCAGGTCAACCTTTATCAAAGACAAATGTTCATGCTCTTGTTGGCAGATGAGTGTCTCCCTCTTGTCACACACAAAGCCCCTTTGCATTAGCTCTTGCTTTGTGCACGTAGTTTTGTGCATGTGTCACGTAAAGCGCTGTGAGGGGCATAGGGAGAGAGATTGCCATTTTACGGTTGGGGAAACTGGGGGCCAACTGCACTCAGTTTGCTGGTAGCACAGCCAGGTCTTTCTCCTGCACATGCTGGGCCTCTGCTCCGGGCAAGGAGGAAGGGGACCCTTTTCTGGCCCCCTTGGTCTAGGGGTGAAGAACAGGACCAAACCCCACTGACTAGAGCCCTCTGCTTCTGGAAACCGCTAGCCTCAGAGGCTGGCCTCCAAAAGGCAGAGCTGTTGGATGTTAAGGCCTAGAAAGTCCTTGAAGTCAGTGGTGGGGACATTAAAAGCATCTGCCGTTTGCTGAGTGCTTCTGTTGTGCCAGGCGCTTTGCCAAGCATTTTCTGTATATGATCTCATTTTATTCTCGCAAGAGTCCTGTGAGGTAATTATTATTACCATGATTCTGACAACAGTCCCCTGAGGAAGCGTTTAATGCATAAAGAGAGGAGGCACAGAGATTGAGTGACTTACTGGGAAGTGACTGCTTGAGTATGGCAATGAGGTCTGTGATTCTAAGGCTGCTGTCTTTTCCAAGGTCCTGGGAGGGGGATGGCTGAGCTGTGACTAGGCTGGTGACAGGTGCTAACTGTGAGGGCTGGGAAAAGTCAAGCACCCCTCTTGTGGGTGAGATCACACAGACCTTTGGGTGCTTTTACTGAGAGGTGATGCCCAGCTTTTCTTAGAAGTCCAAGGCTGCCCTCTTCTGGTCAGCTATAACTGGCGGCCATGCTTAGCTTACTGCCTTGGCTGTCATTGACCGAGGGCTTGGCTTGAGCTCGGGCTGGGTGTACAGATGCCGTCACACAGGCTCCAGGGTCAAGGGCATGGGCCATGCCTTGCACAGGGCTCTGGTCCACTCACCTTCCCATGGACCTTATGTCATCTCTCCTGCCCCCATCCCTTGCCCTCTCTTGCTGTCCCCTCAGCACGCTTCCATCTTAAAAAGCCTTCCCTGGGCACCGCATCATCCCCCACGCCATCCCTTGCTCCTTCATGGCCAAACCGAGTTGTCTACACTCACGTGTCTGCACTCACTTGTCACTCTCCCTTAGCACCCACTCCTCATGTCATTGTTTCCCCACCTCCACTCTCCCTGTTCCAAGCCGCCTCCTCTTACCAACATCCCCAACACTCTCCAGGATCTAGTGAGCACTTCATTTTAAACCTTCATTTTGAATTATTCAAATGACATGTGGATTCATACACACACACACACACACACACACACACACACACAGGGCATCCGTTTTATATCTCCAGAGATAATCGCTGTTATGAGTTTGAATTTGGTATATATGTAGTATTTAAAAACTACATACAACTATGATCCATAGAAAATATACAAACTATCTCGTGATTTTGTAATAAAATATAAAAGGTGGTCATGTGTTATGTACTGTTCGGCAATAGCTTTCAAGCAGCTTTTGGAGACCTAGCCATGTTAATGCATTTAGACTTGGTTGGGGTCACTCGTTGGTCCTCTTATTAGTATCAGGCCTTTTAACAATATTCAATGCAATGACCCCTTTTTTTTTTTTTGGTGGTAAGAACACTTAACACGAGACCTCTCCTCTTTACAAATTTTTACGTGCACAATACAATATTGTTAACTGTAGGCGCTATGTTGTATGGCAGATCTCTGGAACTTAACTCATCTTGCAGAACTGAAACTTGATACTCATTGAATAGTAACTCCCCACTTGACGACATAGCTTTTTAAAAACTACTCAACAACAACAGATGCTCCACTTTAAAGACTTCGGAAGTGTACCAGGTGAAAGTGAATGCTGCCCTGTATCTGCCCCACCCTCACTGGGCGCCTCTGACACTTGCGACACCTCCTTCTGTACAGACACAAGTTGCAGGACCGGCTTTGCTTTGACACAATTGACATTATAATCTCTGTATTGCTCTGCCTCTTTTGGAGACAGTCCCTCTCCTCACATCTCTGCAGGTCCCAGTGCCAGCTTTTCCTCATCTTCTACCGCTCTCTAAATGGGAGAGTTCCTCTGGGATCTGTCTCAGGCTCCCTTCTCTTGTAAACTCTCCCTCTGCTTAGGGAATTTAATCTCCTTCTGTGGCTTGAAATGCCATCAATATGTCACCACCTCCCACGTTTTGATCTCCAGCCCAGACCTATAGAACCAGCTGCTGACTTGATAATAAAACAGGATGCCTGGAACTCAGTGTGTTCAGATGCACTCACGAGCTTCCCTTTGAGAAGAGTCCCTCGCTTTGCTGGCCATGGAGTCCCCCCGCAGACATCCTCGCCCTGCATCCTCATGTGTAAACTCACCACCACGCTTGCCAGTCCTCCCTCCATAACACATCTCCCCCGTATTTCTAGCACAGTCTCTGTCATCTCTCCCAAGGTGGTTGTCACCAGCGTCCCCACAATCCTCTCGGGGCCTTCCTCAGGCCATTTTCACATGGTAGCCAGAGTGATCTGCATTAGACCTTGCATTTAAAATGCAAATCTGACCATGTCATTTCCATTCTTGAAACCCTTCAAACCATTTCCCATCACTTGCAGGGTAAAATATGGATTCACATCATCCTTCTTGGTTTCTCCATTGGCTCTGGCCACCTCCCTTCAACCTCATTCACCCCACTGTGCGCTCCTGTCTGGGCTACTCCACCAGGCTCTGTACCTGGATCAGGCTGAGCAACTTCTAGCCTCAGAACCTCTGTACAGGTGCTTCCTCTACCGGAAACCTTCCTCCCATCTTGGCTTGGCCAAGGCCTCTTGTGGGGCTCAGCTTAAATTTCTGACTCTCAGAAAGGCTCTCCTTCAGTCCTATACCCAAGCCTCCCCATCCTGCATTCTCCCTAATATCCTGTACTTTTTCTTCATGGCTGTGTTCCACTTGTAATTCCATCATTATTCAGCGTTCGTTAGTTCCTGCCTGTCTTCCCCACCAGCCTGAAAGTGCCACAGGGTCAGAGACCCTGTCTGCTTTACTCACTACTTGTTTTCATTAGCACCTACCATACAGTCTGGCCACTCAGTGGATGCTCCAGAAATACTTGTCAACTCAGGACCGAAGTTGAATTCTCCATTAGAGTAAGTACTCTGGCTGAGAGCTGGTATGCTCAAGTCTGACCGTCCTGGGTTAGAATTCCAGCTGTGCCACTTATAAACTGTGTTACTTTGATTTTGATTTTTTTTTTTTTTTTTTTTTTTTTTTTTAGCTGAGCCATCCCGCCACCTGTTGGCAGCTCACAGCTGCTCAGCTCGGGCTGACTCGAACCGCTGTTGCTCAGAGCTCAAACTCTTGAGCGAGCTCTTAACCAACTGAGCCACTCGGCCGGCCCTAAACTGTGTTACTTTGGACTTAACCTCTCTAAGCCCGTTTCCTATCGCATAAGATTATTATGAGGATTAAATAAGAATGTATATAAAATATTTAATGCAGTGTTTGGCATATAGTAATCATAACAATGGTTATTTTTTCCCCTTTTTTAAAATTTATTTTTAAACTATAGTTGACATATAATATTATTAGCTTGTCAGAAAAGTCATGACGTATTTTTTCTGTTTTTCATTGCAAAAATGCGTCATGACTTTGCCGACAACCCAATATGTTAGTTTCAGGTGTACAGTATAGTGATTAGACATTTATATACCTTTCGAAGTAATTACCACAATAAGTCTAGTAACCATCTTTCACCATGCAAAGTTATGATATTCTTGACTATTCCCTATGCTGTACTTTACATCTCTGTGACTAATTTTATAACTGGTAGTTTGTACTTCTTAATCCCCTTCACTTTTTTGTTTTTGAGTTCCAGTGCGCTTTTATTGAGATAAATTAACAAAATTTAAAAAAAATCAAGATTTTATCAATCATATTTACTGAACTCCCTTCACCTTTTTCACTCAGCTCCCAACTTCCCTCCTGTCTGGCAGCCATCAATTTGTTCTCTGTATTTATGAGTTTATTTCTGTTTTGTTTGCTCATTTATTTTGTTCTTTAGATTCCACATATAAGTGAAATCATATGGTATTTGTCTTTCTCTGTTAGACTTATTTCACATAATACCCTTTAAGTCCATCCATTTTGTTGCAAATGGCAAGATTTCATTATTTTTTTTGGCTAAATAATATTTCATATGTTACATCTTCTTTGTATCAATGGACACCTAGGTTGCTTCCATAGTTTGGATATTGTAAATAATGCTGCAACGATTATATATTTGGGTGCATATATCTTTTTGAATTAGTGTTTTTGATTTCTTTGAATAAATACCCAGAATTGAGATTGCTGGGTCATACGGTAGTTCTAGCTTTAATTTTTTGAGGGATCGCCATACTATTTTCCATAGTGGCTGTACCAGTTTACAATCCCACCAGCAGTGTATGAGGCTTCCTTTTTCTCCACATTCTCACCAACACTTGTTATTTCTTGTGTTTTTAATAATAGCCCTTCTGACAGGTGTCACTGTGCTTTTGATTTGCATTTCCCTGATGCTTACAACAATGATTGTTATTTAAATATTTATAATCAAAGCTAAACCACAGGTCCCCAAAGTGCTAGCTTTGCTTCTTCCTCTCATATAAGCAGGGAGCGAAAACACTATTCGTATGCACTTGGACTTGGTCTTTGGAAGCAAGCTGTGATGGCAGCAGTTACAGCTCTGGAGTTGGACCTTTGTGTCCCACTCTGCTACTTGACTGGCTGTGTCATCACAGGCAGGTGGACCTCTCTGAACTCAGTTTGTCCTCTGTAAAAAGTAGCCAATAAACATCTCATAGGATAGTTATAGGCATCGTCTGAGATAATGCACATAGATATTTCGTGCTGAAAGTTGTTAAGTTAAAATAGGGTCTTATTACAAACTCAGGATGGCTAAACAGTGGCACTGTGTTTCCTGGCATGTTTCAAAACTGGCTTCCTCTCAACTTCCTTCCCTTAATCACATCAAGTCAGACCCGAGTTTGAAAGTTGGCTTGGCCACCTATTTGCTACATAGCCCTTCTGAGCATCAATTTCTTTCTCTCTAGAATGGAGCTAATACCCACATGATGGGGGTAATTAGAAGGAGTGAATGAAACAGTTAATCTAAAGTAAAGGTTGGCAAGCTGTGGATGGTGAGCCAAATTCAGCCCTTTTGCTGCTTTTGTCAAGTTTTATTAGATCATAGCCACGCTCCTTCACTCATGCGCTGTCTGTGGCTGCTTTGGTGCTACAATGGCAGTGGAGTAGTTGTGACAGAAACTGTTCGGCCTACAAAGCCTAAACTACTCGTATTTACTCTCTGGCCCTTTATAGAAAAAGTTTGCCGACACCTGATGTAAACATTTGGTGCCTGCTTGTGGTACGTGCTCAGTGACCATAGCTGCTGCCATCATCATCAGTCTGTATCACTAATGCAGCAATCAGGTGGAGCAGTGTTCTGTACAGGTGAGGAAGAGGAGGTCCCATGGGGAGAGGGGCTTGCTGGAGTCACCAAGTGCAGTGCCATGCGCTCAGCAGGCCTGTGTCAAAGACTCGTGGTTTTGTGAACTTTCTAGTACATCAAATAATATTCTCTAAACATTTAAATATGCCAGGAAAATGTGTCAGAAGTCTGTTGTCAGGGCCACCATAAGCCCATGGAGTGCCTTTGTGTGAATTAAAAAATGTACCTCTTCCTTAAGACACTTAATTGTTATAATAACTATACTAATTTTGTTAGAATGAGATGCTTTATTTCCAGGAAGCTGTAGTAAATATACAAACCTACCATGTATTCTTTGTGAAGGGGACCCCTTCCCCGCCCAGGATTGTGCAGTGCGCTACCTGCACGACTATACATGGCAGCCCTGCCTATCAAAGAATGGTGAACCAACATGAGTCCTGACTTTTGTATATCTGTTGTCTAAAAGTAAGGCCATTTTGGTTTTTTTTAATAATTACCTTATTTAAAAAAATTTAAAAAAAAATTTTTTTTATTGGGGAACTGTGTTTTTCCAGGACCCATCAGCTCCAAGTCAAGTAGTTGTTTCAACAGTTGTGGAGGGCGTAGTTGTTTCAATCTAGTTGTGGAGGGCATTTTTCCAGGACCCATCGACTCCAAGTCAAGTAGTTGTTTTCAATCTAGTTGTGGAGGGCGCAACTCAGTGGCCCATGTGGGGATTGAACCGGCAGCCTTGGTGTTATGAGCACTGTGCTCTAACCACCTGAACTAACCGGCTTCTCCAAGGCCTGTTTCTTATGGAACTTTGCATGCATAGCTATGACTTTGCCCCTTATCTGTGCTTCCCTGGCCTCTGTGGGCCTAGCAGGCCCTGATGCCTCCTCACTACCATCTTTGGGACCCCACAGGCAGAGATGGAGTTGGTCCAGCGTATTGGTGTTCCTGCCAGTAAGATCATCTACACCAACCCCTGTAAGCAAATTGCACAGATCAAGTATGCTGCCAAGCATGGTGTCCAGCTGCTGAGCTTCGACAATGAGATGGAGCTGGCAAAGGTGGTGAAGAGCTACCCCAGTGCCAAGTAAGCTGAGAGCTGCTCATGTAGGGAGGTGGAGGGGGTGAGGGGGGTGGAGTTGGAGCCAAGAACCCTGTCCTAGACCCGACCACGTGACAGGAGGTTGGGGCAGGCACCCCTGGACTGGACCCAGGATGCAGGAAATGACTAGGACAAAGACAGAAATAACTGCTTATAGCCCAGGCAGAGCAAAGCCCATGGTGTTATGGAGGTCAAAGTCATGGCTGAGAGCCAGGGGATGGTCAGGAAAGCTTCACATAGGAGGCGGCATTTGAGGTAGGCCTTGAGCAGTGAATAGAATTTGGGGAGGGCACAAACAATAAATCAGAGTAAACTACATAAACAAACACAAAGAGGTCAGAAATAGCTTGGGGTGTTTGAGGGAATATGAAATTTGGTGTGGCTGGAACATACCATGTGCAAGGGGGGAGGGAGATAGTGAATGACACCCGTCACGGGGCAGGGACCTGATGCAAATGGACTTTGCAAGAGGTCAGGACTGGACATTTTGCCCAGGCTGAGGCTCTCTGTTCACTTGACACCCTGAGGATTCCAGGGAGGGGCCTTGGGTAAAAGGGAGGCCAAGTGGTGGGCCACTCTGGTTCATCCAAAGCAGCTTCCATTTTGTCTGTTTTACATGATACTGGGGTTCTCAACAAGATTGTGTTTAAAAAATGGTTCCCCTCATACAAGAAAAGTTGGAAATGCCTGATTGGTGTAGAGGAAGTGGAGCTGCCCAGGGGAAAACTGGTGAGGTCCAGGGCAGGGGTCCAGGGAAATTTAGGGAATGGATTGGACAGAACTTAGAGGTTGACTTGTTGGCTGTGCAGGGAGAGGAAAAGGTCAGGGGCCTGTGGGGTTGGATGACTGAGCCACACGGGTGCACACCCTTAACTCAGAGAAGAAGTGGCTGGGGTGGGGGAGGAGGGGCCCCCCCAGCAGAGGTACTCGGTGTTTCCTCAGGATGGTTCTGTGCATCGCCACAAATGACTCCCACTCCCTGAGCCGTCTCAGCCTCACGTTTGGAGCATCACTGAAATCCTGCAGACACCTGCTTCAGGATGCCAAGAAGAGTCACGTCGATGTAGTAGGTGTGAGGTAAGTGCCTGGGAACCCCACCATCCCCACCCATGCCAGGCCCACTGCCTCTTTTTCAGGAATTAATCAATCCTGTATGAGACTTCTCCCAGGGCCTCCAAGGAGGGCCTGTCCCTTGGCCTGGAGTTCTGCTATTTGAGAGTATCCTCTCTTTGGAAAGAAAGTTTGGAGTGTCTTGCTGCTCCTGCCCCACAGTCCCCACGTCTTGTCCCAGGAGGTTCCAGGAGGGACCTGGCTTTGCAGGAGTTTTACCAGCCTGTAGGCCACACCTTTGCTCTGCCTCACTCCTTGCAGGAATGTGGAAGAATAGCAATGACCTAACAACATAGCTTGCATTTACTCTGTACTTAGGGCATGCCAGGCCCTGTGCTAAATGTTTCATGTACATTATCCCGCAGCCTTGTGGGGTCTTATCCCCACTTTACAGGTGGAAACTAAAGCCCAGGTAGGTCACACTGCTGACTGAGGGGTACACCCAGATCAGGCTGACTCGGGGCCTGGTCTTTATCCCTGAAGGCCCAGCCCTAGGGGCAGAATGGAGGGATGGCAGGGGCACCAAGTGCCAAGGGACCTTGGATCTAGACTCCTTTCCACTCCTCACTTGCTACATGGCCCCTGGCAACCCATTTAACGTCTTAGGCCCTCAGTCATTACATCTGTCAAATGGGCACCGTGTCCAATGTGTCTGTCCAATGTGCCTTTCCTGGGTGGGCTGAGGTGGTGGCACGTGGGACCTTGCATGTAAGCCGAGGCTCTCCTCCCTTCCCAGCTTTCACATTGGCAGTGGCTGTCCTGACCCTCAGGCCTATGCTCAGTCCATCGCAGACGCCCGGCTTGTGTTTGAAATTGGCGCCGAGCTGGGCCACAGGATGCATATCCTGGACCTTGGTGGCAGCTTCCCTGGAGTGGAGGGGGCCAAAGTGAGATTCGAAGAGGTAACCGTGGCACCAGAAGTGTCTTATTGGGCTCTGTGGAGAAGGCGGTGGGGTGGAGAGGGTTATAATGACAACAGGGAGCCCACTATGGGTGGGTCCTATGTGCTATGTGCTGTGCTTTGTTCTTTACCTGGATCTTATTATTAACCTGTGTTGTAACAGTTATGCAAATGGGGCACATAGAAGTTATGTGACTTCCTGAGTCCATGGCAGAGCTGGCTGCACACCCAGCTCTACTCTGCCTGACTCCAGCCCACACACATATTTGAGGCTCAACCAGACCATATTTGCATACGTCGTAAAGCTCTTTGAGGGTCTGGATATGCCCTGTTCACCCTCAGGTGAGCTGATGAGAAATCAAATGAGAGGGCAGGGAGAGAAAAAGCCAATCTTCTGTCCACTCACAGTCTACCTGTCTCCTTCCCACCTGTGAGATGAAATCAAGAAAAATGTGTCATCGCAATCCCCAATGCAACCACTAGGGGTCGCTTCTCCTTAGTAAGAGCCTTCTCCTGGAATATCCACATCTAGGAACTGACCCTAAGAAAATAATCCGTGATGGACACAGAGAATTAGCCTCAAAGATGAGCACTGCAGCTTCGTTCATCACAGAAGTCCGGTGGACTGCCCTGGTCCATCCGGCACTCGGGGATTGGTTAAATTATAGAACATCCTTATGATGAAAACATTTATTCACATGGAGAGGTCATTCACAGACTCTCCAGTAGAACAGGTTATAAACACACACACACACTCACACACACACACACACACAGATATTTCCCTATCATGTTTATAATAAAAATTAGTGTTGTATAAAAAACAAATTAGGGCCAGCCGAGTGGCACGATGGTTAAGAGCTGGCTTGGGACGCCAGAGGGCCCCGGTTCGGATCCCACATATGAGGGCCAGTGACACTGCCCTCCACAGCTAAGATGCTGAACAACAGCTCAACCTGGAGCTGGGCTGCCCGTGAGTTGCCGGCGATGGCATAGGCTGCAGTCCCTGTGGCAGTGGGTTGCCATGGGCTACCGTGTGTAGCCAGCAGCCAGCGTGAGCGGCCAGCAGCCGCAGTGAGCGGCCGTCCAGAAGCCGGCGACTGATCTGCCTCGCCCGGGAAGAGCGCAATGATGGTGCCAAATTGGGCCAGTGAAGCAACGTCCTCCACAACTAGACTGAAGAACAAAACAACAGCAGCTTGTCTGTTCCCTTTCCCCGAATTCCCCACCGCTGTTCCCATCACCACAATTCCCCAATAAAAATCTTAAAAAAAAAACACAAAAAACCCCCACAAAAAAAACAAATTAAAGGAGCTACTCCAAAAAGTCAACAATGATTAGATTAATCTGGATGATAGAATTAGAGGTTATTTTGATGTTTTTCCTTTTTGTATTTTCTGAATATTTTTGTGTAAAATAAAATGTGTTATTTAAGAAATTGGTGATTTATAAAAGAAAGATCAGCACCAGGGCTTCTGGAATCTGAGTCCCTCTTCCCGCTGTGCAGGCATTGAGAAGGGTGATTTACACAAGCATAAGGGGCTTGACCCAGCTCTGTCTCTTACCTACCTTCTGGCCAGCTGTCTGCAGTTACCAGCTGGGGCCTTAGCAGCTGCCAAGTCCTTTTTCCTGAAATTAAAGAAGCTTTCAAGAAATAGACTTGGAGCTGTAGCAAGCCTTCAGCATAAACCCCACATTTCAAACATGTAACTGTCCCCCTATCCTTCTACCATCAGATTGCTTCTGCGATCAACTCAGCCTTGGACTTGTACTTCCCAGAGGGCTGTGGGGTGGACATCCTTGCCAAGCTGGGGCGCTACTACGTGACCTCGGCCTTCACCTTGGCAGTCAGCGTCATCGCCAAGAAGGAGGTTCTTCTGGACCAGCCTGGCAGGGAGGGTAGGTGCCAGGTGGGCAGTGGAGCCCTGTTCTTCCCTGAAGCTAGGGACTGGCTGGCTGAGCAGGGTCAGGTTTTAGGGAGTGGGGGAATCTAGAGAATGGGTCCTTGCTTTAGGGAAACTTGTAACCAAGTCCCCTCACCCCCAAGACACTTATTTAGCATCTTTGTCCTGTGCATGTTCATCTTTTATGAAGATTAAAATCAAAACAACCTTAGGGAGAACAGCTACTTGATTAACCCCATTGTACAGATGAGGAAATTGAGAGCCAAAGAGAATCCATATGGAGGGGTGGTGAGGCTACAGGGAGAATGTTTTCTCTGTGTGTGTGTGTGTGTGTGTGTTTATGGCATTCACTGGCCTCCTTTGTAGTTCTGGGGGATTGTTCTCTCTAGTCCCACCAGGAGACCTGGCTTCTTATTCTAGTTCATGCCCTGCCCCAATCGTGTGCCTCTGAGCAAGGGGCTTAACCTCCTGGGGTCTTCAGTTTGGGTGGGCTGCTCTTCTGCCTTTGCTGGGGCATTGAGGGGCTGAGATGCAGGCAGAGTGAATGTCCCGGGCAGGGTTGCTCAGCTGCAAGGGTGAGTGTTTCCAGTGTGGCAGTGAACCTCATGTCCCAGGAGGAGGTGGGAGCCAGCCCATAGCTGAGGAAGGGGCAGCCCTTTCGCTTCAGTTACCCATCATCCTTGCGGAGCCCACCATTGGGCCAGCTCCCCACTCCCACCCCCTCACCTTGCTTCTTGTCTTGCCCCTGTCCTCCCTCCCTGTAGAGGAGACCGGTTCCACCCCCAAGACCTTTGTGTATCACATGGATGAAGGCGTGTATGGAATCTTCAACTCAGTCCTGTTTGACAACACCTGCCCTACCCCTGTCCTGCTGAAGGTGAGCCTCTCCCACCTGGGCCTGTTTTCAGTTGTGTGGGTGTGTTTATTTTGTTATTTATTATTATTGGTTTTTTCCTGTTTTGTTTATTTTGAATTCTTTTTCCTTTGTGTGGGTGTGTTTAAATAAGATTTTTTGGTGTGTTATCTAACTTTAAAAATAAAACCTATTCATTGTAGAAAATATATGAAGAAGGTTATATTACCCATAATGCCACCACATACAGATGGACTCTTTGAACATTAGATTTCTTTTCAATCTGAAAAAAAATTGTATTATACTTTTTTCCCATAAGCTTGGGGTCATATTGTTTTGTAACCTGTGTTTTTTTCTCTTAATATGGGGTGTAGATCTTTCCATGCCAGTAGCTAATCTTTGACGCCGTGCTTTTTGATGACTGCAGAGTATTTTTACCAATCTAACTCTAGTGGTTGGCCACTTGGTTTCCTGTTTTTGAGCATTGTGAGTGTATCTTGACATCCATCTCTGACGACGGCTCTGGGGTAAATTCCTAGAAGAAGAAAGAAACAGTTCTGTTAATGGTTTTTTTCATATTAGCAAAGGAGCAGGAATAGGCAAAACATTTCCTAGCCTTTGGATTCCAGCCCTGGGCCTCCTTGCCGCTTCCGTGGATAGGTTAAGGGGAAAGAAAATTAGACACATTCTTGTATTTTCACATCTCCAGGCCTTTGTTTGTGTGGTCCCTCTTCTGGAAGGAAACTTAAGTACCTAACCAACACCTAGACCAACACGAGCTTTCAATATGTGTGTGTGTGTGTGTGTTTTCTTTTCCTTTCCATTCTGTCTAGTTTTTCAAAGCCCAGCCAGATGTCAGCTGCTCTTTGTAGCCTTCTTGCCTATTATCTGCTGCAGGCATAGGGAGCCCCTCTCCCTCTTCAGGCGCCCATGACTGAATGGGCCCTTATTCCATAGTTGCTTTGTTAAATGTGGTTATGTCTGTCTGTCTGAGTAGGCCTCCCTGATGTGCTCAGGAATTCAGTTTTCTACTGTCGTGCACTAGCATCGCCTGCGTTCTTGTGGGATCCCACAACCTACTGAACCCAGAAAGGACCAGGCCAGTTAGACCACCCAAGCCCCAGGTTACACAGCAGGCAGCAGCTGCTTCCCAGTGATTTTCCCCTCTAACGCCCCTCCCCTTTTTAGCCCCCCCCCTCTTCTGTTGCATGCCACCCCACGCCCCATTCTCTTCATCAGCTGGTCAGATGAGCAGGAAGTGGTCCCAGCCCACTCCCCACACCCCACCACTTCCCTGTTTTGATGAATCTCCAGTTTGAGTTGCTGATGGGCACCAGGATGTTACTGACGCTGTTTGTGACCCCTGCTGCTCTTCCTCTGGACGATACTGGCGATTCTGCCTTCGGGCTGTCAGCCATTTACCAAGGCCTGCAATGCGACCATATCCAGGGCGGGGTCCACAGTCTGGCTGTGGAGACAGACATTGTGTAAATGCCAGCACACAAGAGAAGCTAGCTATAACTGTGCTGGAAATGTGTCAGAGGGGTCCAGCCTGGTCAGGGATTTCTGCACCTCCTTCCCCAAGGACAGTCCCCTCACTACTCGTTATGGCACCTTGGCACCCCTGCTCTTCACTCCCAGGAACTTTGTTTATGAACCTCAGATATAGAAAGCTGTATTAAACATAATCCTTGGTTCAATGTATACTTCTTGTTATTGGAATGTGCTTGCCCCCCCCCCCTTTAAAATTCAATACATATTTGAGTACCTCAGTATACAAAGCATTGTGCTGAGGCCTGCTGGGTAGAAACGTGTGTGTGTGTGTGTGTGTGTGTGTGTGTGTGTGTTTAGTACACAGCTACAACAGTTTCATGAGAAAAGTACAAAAAGCTACAGAATAAATGTTATTGGAACGTCCTCAAAAATATTTTAGTATGTATCACTACATGATAAGGACTTTAAAAATCACAAACCATCATCCAACTAAAAAAATAAACAAGCCCCCCCCCCCCATCATCCTGTCAGTGTTTGGATATCCCCAACTGCCTCATGAGTGGTTTTGATAGTTGATTTGCTGAAATCAGGAGCCAAAGAAGGCCCACAGATTGCATTTGGTTGATTTGTCTCTCTCTTAACCAATTGGTTTCCCCAACCTTTTGTTATTTTTTTAAATTGATTTTTTTATTTGTTGGTGAAACGGATTTGTTGGTCCTAGTTTCCTGCATTCTGGGTTTTTCTGGCTGGTGAATTCCTTGAATTCCCCTCAGTGCTGTTGAATATGTTTCTCGGAGCCCTGCATTTCTTTGAAATTAGATAGAGTTAATGGTTTTAGTAGATTCCCAATCAGTTTTTGGAAAAAAAGATTCATGGGAGGTCTTGGCTTTGCTTTCTTTTTAGTGTAATAAGCATTATCATTTATCACCTCATCTCTCTGTCTCTTCCCATGCAAAGTAACCACTATTTCGACTTGTGTTATTTTTTTCATACAGTTTCTTCTTTTTACCTATATATATCTGTGGTAAGAGCACTTAATTTGAGACCTACCCTCATAACAGGTTTTTAAGTGTATAATGCAGTCTTACTATCTATAGGCACATTGTTGTACAGCCGATCTCTAGAACTTATTCATCTTGCAGAACTGAAATTTTATACCCGTTGATTAGCAACTTCCCACTTCCCCCTCCCCTCAGCCCATGGCAATCTCAGTTCTATTCTTTGCTGCCATGAATTTGACTATTTTAGATGCCTCATATAAGTGGAATCATGTAGTATTGACCCTTCTGTGACTAGCTTATTTCAGTTAGCGTAATGTCTTCAACATTCACCCATATTGTTGTATATTCCTTCTTTTATAAGGCTGAATGATATCCCATTGGATGCATATACCACATATTTTTATCCATTCATCCGTTGATGACATTTAGGTTCTTTCCATGGCTTGGAATTGTGAATAGTGCTGCAGGGAACACGACAGAGTTACTGTCTCTCAGACATCCTCCTTTCAATTCTTTTGGACGTGTACCCGGAAGTGGGAATGCTGGATCATGTAGTAGTTCTATTTTTAATTTTTGGAGGAACCTCCATACTGTTTTCCATAGTGGCTGCACCATTTTGCATTCTCACCAGGGTCCAATTCTCCACAACACATGTTGTCTTTTGCCTTTTTTTTTTTTTTTTTGATAACAGCCTTCCTAACAGGTGTGGAGTGATAATCTCATTGTGGTTTTGATTTGCATTTCTCTTCTAATTAGTGACATTGAGCATCTTTTCATATACCTGTTGATTACTTGTATGTCTTCTTTTATATCATTTTGTCATATCCAAGTGTATTCCTAAAATGTATTTATAATTTATTTTACTTGTTTTTTTTACTTACAAAAAGGGTGTTATGATGTATGGAACCTTTTTGGACTTTTCAAAAGCTTAATATCACTGTCTAAGGTTCATCAATACTGCTGTATAGCTCTAAAGTTTATTCATATGACAACTACATAACACTTTTTCAGTGAATATACTGCAGCTTATTTGTTTATCCTCTTCTTTGGATAGTTTCTAGGTGTTTGGTAGTGTGAATATTGCCTATATGAATATTTTAGCTCATGTCTCTGTGACACATGAGTAAGGAGTGGAACCACTGAGCGTAGAGCATGCAAATGTTCAGCTTCATGAGATAATGCCAGACTATTTTCCAAAGTGGTTATACTAATTGGCAATCCCACCAGCTTTGTATAAGAGACTGGGTGGGTCTACATTTTCCCAATATTACCACCACCACCACCACCCAAAATAACATATACTTTGTGGGGTTAAAAACAGGTTTCACTTACGAGTAGCTTCGGCTATGAGTAGCAGAACCCAAATTATATGACTCAAACAGGATATAGAGGCCTACTTCATTCTCATGTGAATGTCTGGACACAGGCAATTTAGAGCCCCTGTAGTGGTTTCATAGTCATGTACAACTACAGCTTCCAGTTGTACCGATTTCTAGGTGTTGTCCTCATCTTGGTTGGTACAAATTGAAGCTCAAGACATTTAGGAAACAAGAGGTGAAATCCATGTTCTAGTCTGTCTTTTAAGGAAATTTCCTAAAAGTAGCCACATAAAACGTAGACTTTTGTCCCATGGCCCTAACTACCTGCAAGGGAAGTTGGTTTTTAGGTCATTACGTGCCCAGTAAAAACTGAGGGTTGAAATTGTTGGGAGAGGCAACCAGCAGCCTCTGCCACAAATAAAACTGAATAAAACACTGGATAGCAACTTGGTGTCCTAAAGTTTGGGATTTTTTGAGAGGAAGGTAATGCTATTGATTCATTGTAGACTTGAAGTGAGGCGTGTGTGTTAAAATATGAATGTCTAAAGTAAGCACTAAAGTAATAGAAACAGATAATACAATTTCTAATGTTGAGGGTAATTAAAATAGGTTAGCTTGGACACAAGCATAAAAAAATAGACCAGAAAACACAGTTGAGAGCACAGAAAAGAACCACACACATCTGGAAACTTGAATTTTGACAGGGCTTGCAGAGCAGATCATTGGGGTTTGTTTAATATGTGGTGCTAATTATCCACATGGAAAAAATGAAATTGGATCCCTATCTCACACCATAACATGAATATAAATTCCAGAAAGCAATACAGGAGAATATCTGTTTGAACTTGAAACATGGAAGCACAGTGAAGAATACCTTGAAAACCAAAAAGGAAAAGACTGTCTATATTAAAATGAAGAGATTCTGTTCATCTGTTAGCAAAAGGAAAGAGGCAATAACCAACTTGGACAAAATATTGAAAAAAAATATATATTAAGGGATTAGTAGACAGAATATATGAAGGATTCTTAAATAGAAATTGAGACAGAGAAGAATCTTAAGAAAAAAGCAGTATGGGGCTGGCCGAGTGGTGCATTGGTTAAGAGTTTGTTTGGGACACCAGCTCTGAGCAGCAGGGCTCCGGTTCAGATCCCACATTAGGGCCAATGATGCTGCGCCCTCTACAGCTAAGATGGTGAACAACAGCTCAAC